TTTTTTAAGGAACTGTCTAAAGCATGGGGGAGGATTAGGAATTACATACTTCTGTAGGTTATCTGGAGTGCACACTTCTTCATCATATAATCCTTCAGGATCCAACAAGGTACCTGTGAACAGAAAGGGAGATGTGACTGTCCCAGCATACCTCCTGCGGTTTGCCTCTCGGGAAACTTCGGGGGCAGGGAGTGTGAAGACAGCATCCATGTGGGAAGAGGGGATCGCTCTGACTGAGAGCACTTGGTGGTCACTCCTCTACCTACACCTCCCTACTGCCTGCCACTGTTCAGAACACTGCCTCTGCCCTTCCAGTTTCTCAGCCCCAGTGTGTCTCGGTGTTTTCTTTCTCTGCTACAACAGAGTAAAATCACATTGTTAAACAGTTCCACATTCTTGCCTTCAGTATCTTCACAGTTACCATTTCTCTACCCCTAAAGAAAGTCTAATTCCTGATCTAAAACGTCACCAGGTTCAGCTGAGTTTCACCAGGTATGAGTATCTTGGGAGTTCCATGCTGTCTTAAAAGGTGAACCCTCCAAGTGAACTGCTTTGTGACATCCTCACAATGTATTTAGAACAGCAAATGGAACATTCTAATCAAAAGCTGTGGCTTTCACTGCATGCAAGAAGTACAGAAGCAATAATTTGGCTTTTTTTTTTTTCTTCCCCTCCTCCCAGAGCAATCTAGAGATCATTTTCAAACAGTAAGTGTAGGAAGGCATTCAGGTAGCTCGATGCGTAAGTTCTAGAATGTGGACTGAAGGTTGAGATCTCTGGTACTTAATTATAATTCACCAAGATGCTGTTAAGATTTATAAATTACATGTTACAGAACTACCCCTTGTAAATACTTGGTCTCACCAAATTCTTACTGCCAGTTAACTGAACAACCTGCTGCTTACTGATGTCCTGAGTGACAGACAAACGTTCACACAGCGGTAGCTAGAGGATGGCTCACCGATTGCCCATGGTTTATCCTCCCCAGGACCAATTCGACATGGGTCTTTGTAGTGTGTAAACAGAGAATGCTGTTGCTCCAGTAAGAGCAAACCCAAGAAAAGGCACATCAGCTGCGTGTGGTAAACCTGGGTTCTGCCACAACAGGAAAGGCAAGTCCTCCTTCCTGCTCCCTACACATGTAGGGTGGAGTTGAACCAGTTCAGGGATATTATCTAAAGCGTTCAAGTAAGTCTAAACAGAATCGGCATGACCCAAGAGAGATGAAAATCTTTGTTGTGATTGATTTGAAACTCTGGCACTGACAGGTCACAGCTGATGAGACAAACTTAACCCATCTGACTGGAAGGCTTTTTATCTTGCGCTGAAGGGGTTAAAAGCATAAGACTCTTACGCAAGTCAGCCCAAAGCAACCTGACAGTAAGAAACTTTCTAACAATGTTCCTACTGAGTGTGAATTCGCTGTATGAACACTCATAATGGGCCGTAAACCTGGAGGGGAAAACTGAGCTCAGAAACTTTGTCATAAGCATAAGGTCGCTCATGGACCTGGAGATCCTGGGAAACTGTACTGTCAGTATATCTCGGAACGGAAGCTTGGTATTCACGGAAACATTAATTACTCCCCTTATCAGCCTGTGGAGTGGGAAAGTACAGAATCGTACACAGAATTACAGGAAACGGAGTATGTTTTAAAAAAATAAATCTGAAAATGTAAATTCTCTGTGATGCTACCAAACATCCCTAAAACAATGAGTAATGTAAAAATGGAGAAGAAAGCTTTAAAACACTGCATTAATCCTGCTTAGTGTTTAGGAAAGGAAGCAATCTAAAAATAAAAAGTGAAATGGCCAGCTTAATTTTAGTTTCCAGGCTGAGTGAATTTTAAGGGGAGTGAGATGTAAATAAGCTGCAGAGATAGCAAAAATAAAAGTGTTTTTTTATAACCTACTTTTCAATCCTCTTTAGTAGTGGTTGCAATAATTACAACTATTATTTGCCAAAGCAAATAGTTGTGAGCCATCTTTTTAAAACAAAGGTAAAACCAGCAGCAGTCATACCCTGCCCTCCTCGTGCAAGGTCTTGGGGAGACTGCCACAACCTCTCAGGTGGAGAACACGGACCGTCTGTTCTGCCTTGCAGCTTCACTCCGTGTCCCTCTCCCCTCACGCTGCACAGCGCCGCTCACACTCCCGTCGCGCTCTGGCTGGCTCACTCTCCCCTTTGGTGTGCAGCAGATTGCTTCCTGCCTTAATGGCCATCTCTGCCTCCAGGCCACTCCATCCATCCAACAGCCGCGCAAGTCAGGCGGTCCAATCGCAGCAGATGCGTCTGTTTGCATCTCCCAGCTTCCGTCTCCATCGGGACTGCTGCAAGTGCCGCTGCAGCCTGTCTCTGTAGCAGCCTGTCTGTGTAGCAGCCTGCCTAGCTGAAGCCCTCTTCCTTCCTCCCTCAAAGCTCCCTACTGCTGCTGCTATGTATTTTATCCTAGTGTTTGGCTGACTGCAGTATTCTGTAGCCATTAGCGTTACTGTTCACCTCCACAGGGCATAATGATTCTTCTACCAGTCAGAGCACTGGACATCACCTCCTCTGAGCACTGGGAGTTCCCTTTGCATCCTACAGTTGTGACCGATGTATTTTTGTGTATAAGCCAAACAAATGACAGAAGGGCTGTGGTTTGGGTTGATGTCTTTTATGCCCAATTAAATGTTTCTCCAGCTTCGCTAAAAGCTCCCGTTACAGGTGTCTCGTTACAGGTCACAAGATCAGAGAATACCAGTTATTCTGGGGATCAGACAATGTTTGCTTTTTGTTTCTGACAATTGTTTGTGGGATGGTTTATGCTCTCAGCCTCAGTTACCTTGGTGTCTTATGAAAACCACAGAACTGACACTCAACGCTGTTCGCAAAGTCACCTGCTAATCCCCAACAAACCCTGGTCTGAACAGCTGACTCACTCTGAATGCTGCCACCTGAGCTCACCTGGGCACCGCGCATCTTGCTGGCGACTCAGCACAGAGGGAATCCCTCTGAGGAACCCCCTCTGTACCTGCCTTGCACTCTCCGTATCTCAGTACCTCAGGTTTGGCCCAGTCAGGCAATAGGCCTTTGCCCGTCAGCCCTGTGGGAGGCTGGGGACTGGGTCTGTCTGCCAGCTCCAGGCCAGCAGAGCGATTGCCGTAACGCCAGCGAGCAGCTCCACTGCATGCCTGAGCTGCTCCGAGCAGGCCGAGAGGACACGCAAACACAATGCTCTGCGCTCCGCCTTGGCAATTTAGCTGGTAACGGAGCGTGATGTTTGTGTTTGGAAAAGGCTACCAACTCTCTGAACTCGCCAACCATTAATTACGGGTTTGTGGAGTTCTTTTTCTAGTACTCTCCACATCCAAATACAGAAAACAAACTCCAACTGAACATACATTGAAACACGCCAGAAGTATACAACATCAGTCAATTTTTTCCATGACTGATTCAGCGATGTTTAGTTCTCTCTGCAGCATTAATCTCCTATGCCTATATATGCACTATCAAATTATTGTAACTGCATTAATTTACTACTTTTTCTCCACAAAAATCCCATAACATGTACGTCTTTCATTAGTAACTAAATTTCTAAGGCAGTAGGTGTCTGCTTAATTCAGGAAAGCTGAACCACTGGATCTGTCCTCATTACTGCTACTGCAAGTCACAAATTATTGCCCTTTGTGCCTTAAAAATCATTATGCTTAGTAACTTGGCAGCGCGTACGTGCGGGCTGCTCTCCTTGGCTCACTTCAAGGCTTGTACCTATCTCAGACGTAGCTGTAGCAATTAAGTCTTTCCTTGCAAAAGCCAGTCACAACTTGGTATACGGCTGTAACCCACAGGGATCAAGAACATTCCTGTTCCTTTCTGAACAGGTAGACACCAGGAAAAGGAAAACCTTGACTTACCAGAGGAGCAGTTATCGAAGTTGAGATCTCCACAGATTACGTCAAAAGCCACCAGCTCCTCTGGATTGGCTGTACTGGAGGAGGAGGTAGATTTTCTGAATTCAGACAGCCAATCTTGAAGCATGTCCAGTTGCTCACATCGAACAGTAGTGTCTCCTGCAGCAACCAACCAACCAAAACAAGACACAGGACCTCCTTTTAGCACCTTACTCAGTCACATATTAGTTGCTCAGCCACTGCGAGACATCTTGAGACAAAGGGTGCAAGATGAACGGTGTGGCTGATCGTTTATTCAGCACACAGTGCTTAGCCCGTTGTGAAGTTCACTTGGAGTCACACTTCTTGATGATTAAAATACCTCCTCCTGGAATCAATCATAGTAGGCATGTCTGGAGAAGGAAGACAGGGCATGTGTGCTGCAGCCAGCCAGTCAGAATAGTGACGTCGCTAGCTCCAGGAGGAGGATGATCTGATGCACTACATCTGTAATCACTACATCTGGACAGCATATTCTGGGGTAAACCACTTGATCTTTCTTTGCTTTGCTATCTAATTTTGAATAATGAAAAACTTAACCGTGAAGTGTTACTAGTAAATACACATGGTAAATCCAACTTACTCCTACTGTCGCAGTCCCGCCCAGGAAGGGTTCTGCTTGTCGACAAGGCGGAATGCTTACACTGGAAGCATTTCTTTGTATTTTTAAGGAAGATGTAGATACAGGTTTAGGTAGGCAGTACTTGGGAAATAAAGAACCAGACCCTTTCACCAGCTGAGGGAAGTTGCACTGAGCTGCATGTGTCGAGGATGTGCCCTCAATTTATAGGAGCGACACAAAAGGGTTGAGAGTGCTTGCTAAATGCTTTTGTTCGTGAAACCATCTGACACACAAAGCAGCTCTGATTTCGGTAACTAACCACACTGGATGTCAAGCACGTGAGGTGACATGAAGTCTAAGCAAAGATTAATTACTGGCTCTCTTAAAATGAGTGCAGCAAAAGCACTTGGAGTAGACTCGTCTTTTCAGAGTGATAATTCCAACAGCAAATAACATCATTTTTTTCTTACACTGGTGTTATTCCCAACAAATCTTTACCAGTTGGGCTGTAGTATAAAAGCAGGTACAAGTGCTTCCTGGATCTGTTCCCTAACCTACAGTTTCTAGTTACTTGTACCCCAGGTTCACGCAGTGCCCGAATCACACAGCTTGACACAAATCTGGGGAAGGCCCCTGGGCTCCAACAGCAGACAAAAGCCCTACAGTGAAGATGCAGCTAGATAAAAGCACAAGAAATAGGTCACGTGGAACAAACACAGCCCGGAGCAGGTGACACGACCCACAAAAGGTGTGCGTGACTGACACACACATTCCGCTGAACTGCAGATACAGGCAAACTTACAGATTCACAGAAGGCACAAGCTTGAAAGGGGCCTCTGCAGATCATCTAGTGCAGCCCCTCTGCTCAAGCAGCGTCACCTACAGCAGGTTGCTCAGGACCATGGCCACTCAGGCTTTGCGTATCTCCATGGATGGAGACTCCTCCACCACTAGGTAACCTGTCCCAGCACGTAGTCACCCCTGCAATAAAAACTGCCTTCCTTTGTTTAAACGGCTCTTCTTGCCTTTCGGTTTGTGCCCATAGCCTCTCGTCCTGCCACTGGGCCCTGCTGAGGGGAGTTTGCCTCCATCCGCTTACACCCTCCCATCAGGTACTTACACACTTTGATAAGACCCTTCCTGAGCCCTCTCCTCCTGAAGCTGAACAGCCACAGCTTTCATTCCTGGAGAAGCTTATTCAAGTCCATGACTGTCCTCCTTTTGCAGCAGCTGAATCTTTCTAGCCCATCTCTCCTCCTTAAGCCGATACTTTCTTTTGGCCTGCCTTTGTTTCCTCACAATATACCTTTTGAGCATGGTGCTTGTGGATGAGAAAGCAATAACATTGATTCCCACAAAGTCCTGGTTGTAGAAATTCCTCAACTGTCCAAGACTGGCTTTTGCATCCCTGAACTGTCAAGGCTTTTTTTGCATTTTCCATGAATTGTTCACCTAGCATGGCTTCACTAGGATAACACGGCCATTAGCACATGGGCATAAAACTCAGGCAGCGACATCTCACAGACCAGCGTGAAGAGTGCTGCAAACCCACTTAACCGAAACATACAAAGGTAAAATTCCCCAAAAGAGGAAACTCTTGAGAAAAACAAAAGACAGGCAAAAACATTTCAGGAGGCTGTTGTGCAAGGTGTCTGGTAATGGGCATCGCTGTGATGAAAAAGCATTCACTACACCGTGACATAGGACTCCCTCGGTGCGCATGCCGAGCCTCTGAGCAGCACTGCGCGCCACACAACCTCGGGGCTCTACAGAAAAACAGTAGTCGTGGAACTCTAGAAACAGACAACTTTAATTTCTTCTCAGAAAACGTGTGGAACTTGGGGTAGTCCGGCAGCTCTGATTATCCCCACTAGAGGTCACAGAAGTAGCTGCACTTCAGTACACCACGAGGCGGGTGTGCAGCGGGAGCTACATTTCCATGACAAAAGGTGGGATCCTCTAATGCGACTTGAATACAACTTTGCTGAGATTAATATTAAACTAACAGTATCTCGCGTGCTGCTGCTGCACAGCAGGTGCTGCGCGTATCTGAGTGCGGGCGTTGCTAGGGAGACTCAGGCTTAGCAGCTCTCAGTGATCCATAGCTTTGGAGATGAGGGTAACCGAACTCATCAGGCACCTGAGCAGAGGAGGAGCTAAACCTGAATCCAGAGCGGCCAGGGGAGCAGACATTTCTGCAATTGCTGCTGAAATGAAATAGCATCAGTAAATATTAACAGAAGGGAACTAGGCAGTAACTCAACACTAACAGTCAACTCCTCCCAGCCCTCAGCCCTAATTAAATGTTCAGTTAGAATCAGACTGCCACCAGTGATTAACCAGAGAACAGAGTTTTGTACTAATTGCTCTACACTCTTTTCTTCAGTAACTGGCCTGGAAAAATGCAAATAATTGTGGTGTTGTGACTGGTCTCTGCAGTCAGCATTTCCGAATTCTGCAAGTTCCCTTCAGCTTCAAGTTCTGTAGAAGGATGGACAGGTAGTGGGGGCGATCTCACCCTGCATAAATAAATGCTTCACCTTTGCTCACTGTGGAGAGATATATAATCCCTTGCCCTTTCCGTGCACTTCGAGAGTGCTTCGGTGAAGTTCTGGCTGTAATCAGAACTGCAGGCAGGTTCCATACATTGAGGAAGGGTGTTTTGGCCTACTCTGAAAGATGTTAGGAGGAGCACCGTGGAGGATGAACCAAGCAGCTGACAGGCCTAGGAATTAGAAGATCCAGTGGAGGTTTTTAAAAGCAGAGTCCTCAGCACTGAAGGCGCTATGGGGTATATTGGCAGGGAAACTAGGGAAGATGAGCAAAAAAAGCTTGTGAAGTGTAGGTTGCAAAGCCTAGTCAAAAGGAAAACCTGTTTGCAGGTCACATCCAAAGGCTTCAGCTTAGCCATGAGGCAGGCTGTCCCACCCCCCTCACTGGGCGACATTAAGCAGAGCCCCACACTTGTGACGTCCTTAATCAGGGATAGGCTGAGAAAGGAAATAAAGCAAAATAAACCCCAAACCACACAAAATACCCAAACCAAACCAAAACCCTACTTCTTTTCTTCTGCTGCGTTACTTTTCAGCTGGGTCAGGTCCCCAGTCAGGCGCAACAGAGCCCACGGAGCTGCGTTCGCAGCACTGAGCAGCAGGGGCAAGGGCACGCTGCCGTGGCGCAGACATGCCAGCTTTGCTCTCTCACCCACACATATGGAACCGCTGCCTGAGGGTGCTCAGCACTCAAGTTCCTCCTGCTGGCACAGTCAGAATTCCAGACACTGAGGGATCTCTCTCAGTCATGATCCAAGTCTGCTTAAGCTGTGTGTAGGCTTGTGGAACCTGAAACAGGTGCTAGAGAAGCATGAGTGGCCAGTACCTGTACTACTAATGATTAAATTCACACTAAATACACAACAGGAACGTGAACGAGGTTATTCGATAGCGTCCAGGGTGCTACATCATCTGGACCTGGGCTGGAATAGCTCGAGGCTCACCCCGTTTTGATGGCTCGGTGGGGTGACTGAAGGCATGACTCAAAGGGACTTGCAGGGTGGGTGGACCCTGGCAGCAAAACCAGTCCAGAACATTAATCACTGACTAATTGAAAGACATAAAAGAACCATTTAAACATCACAGCCTCTTGGAAAATAATTACATTCAAGTCCCATTAAAGGATCCCTTCATTTGCCACTGAAATGCAGCCATTTCCACACTGGCAGTGAAGTGCTGCTCCATAGCACCATTCAGTACCAGGCAGAGAATTGAGAGGAGCAGCTACACCTAATTCTGAAGTTGTACTACAAAGGGGAATGTCAGGTCTGAAAAAAACCAGCCATTGCTCCGCACAGAGCTGAGCCAGGACAACTCTTGAAAAAAGCATTAGTAGTTCACCCCTGGCTGTAAGCAGTTGGATCCCTTCACTTTATACTCCTGTGCGTATCAGAACTGTCAAGCGTAAGTTTATGTATCCTCGAAGGGAAGCCAGATTGCACTCAGCCATGTAGGACAAGATGATTTAAATGGCTAACCTTTCAAACAGTGCTTGCTTTCACAGATACCACATCTTTGCACTGCTGAACTGGTTTGTTGGATAATTTTTTAAGTGTGTGAAATGTTATGAATCAGATGATAGAAATCAGGAAGCACAGCTCTGCCAAACGTATGAACTTCAGTTTTCCACTTCATTACATAAACTAATACGATATATCAAAGGACAGTTAGAGCCTTAAATCACTGTCTGCTCTATTTGAGTGTAGTTTGAACCAGATAAGCCTAAAAATACAAAGCAAGAACAGAAGCAGGAAAATGAGAGGTGGTGTTTTACCCTTGAAGAAGCTTTAGGCTGACTTTGAAACTGGAAAATTACTTCCCCATTTTTCTTTCTCCCCACCTCTTTTAATATTTTAGGATGTGGTTATCAAAGACTAACCGAGAGTACATGACTAGGTAGTAAAAAGCAACGGGACTGAAAAAGGAGGTTTTTAACCCAAACAGCAACAAATCTCAGCTCCACAACAGCAATCTCACAGTGTATTACCATAATTCCAGAGTTAAAAATAGAAAACCAGAGGACGTTACACTGTTAAAGCGTAGCTGAAAAATGCACAAGTCTTCTTTGGAAATATCCAGTCTCGCTAATGTACTCTGGGGACTGACAGTTTTGTTCCCAAGTCTGTCTCTGCAAGTGACGCACTGACAAAGTAGAACGAGCGGCAGCGGCCTGACCGGTCAACCCAGACACGCTGTGGCGCGTAGGTTCAAAGTTCTGCCACTGGTAACACGTTACTGCCTCGCCTCCGTCTGCGGCATGCATGCTCTCTAGGGCAGCGTAGGAGGGCTGTGTCGTGCTCTCCCCTCTCGGGAGCTCAAGAACTGCAATTGCATCAAGTAAAACTAAGGATAGCCACTCCTCTGGCTAAATTCAATTCTGATCTTACACAAAGCAAAGGCTTGTAGATTTGGCCTTTATTTTACTACTACACCTACTCTAAGTGTAGAACTGACAGTTTTGATGCAAAAGGCAGGAGAGATACATGGACAATTTCCCACAGACATGTCCAGGAATTCACGTATTTGTCAGTTTTACCTGAGGAGTGTTCAGACGGACAGCTAAAACAGAGAAGCAGCTTCATTTCAAAATGTATGGATCACAACACTAAAAATGGAGTAAAACCACCCGAAGTTCGTAACTTCTCTTCCCCTTGCTTTCTGGACTTGGGTTGTAAAATGCAGGTCAGGCCGCCCGTCTCCCTCAGCCTTGTTCTGAATGTTGACATTAAAAGGAGGGCTAAGCGTTGAGATACTAGCTTAAAGAATGTCGTAAAAGCTCCTGAGATGGTTGAGGAGGAACAGGCTGCACCACAATCTGACTGAGCTACATGAAATTCCTGTCTGGTTACAGGAAGCCATGGAGTTAGTGTATCTCACAGGCAGAGAAATCTGCTATTAAAGGACTTCTTTTTAAAGATAACGCAGTGAAAATTCCAACATCAGCCTTCCACGCCCTGCTAAGAGCTTCTGCATTTTAGTTATCTTCAATGACCTTAGAAAACACTGGTTTGTGAAACGAGGGTCACAGAGCATGCGCTGTCAGGCTGTAGTGCGCCTAATGACAGAATGGCTTTTAAACATGACCCAGACAATTTTTCAATGCGTGCATTAGCTCGCTAGGCATTTATGTATGAAGTTTGTAGGTAAAAAACAGAGAATTTGAGCTTATTCCAGCTGCTGATTTCTGACAGAAAAACTGTCCCAACTTGTATCTTCTGATAACCCCCTCATTATGTATAAAAATATTTTAGTTTACAAGCAGATACTCAACAGTGTGGGTTGTTGAGTGCTGTTGAGAATGATGATAGTCATGCATTTGCTAAAATAACAGTATTTGGGTAAGAGGGAGCAAAGAGAAAACAAAGGTCTCAAGGGATGTTTTTTGTTTTGTCTCCTATAATACTTAATTATTCCGAGACTGAAAACGTGAAGGCTTGGGGATATGCTTGCCTACCCTTCTTTCTTCGCTGTCCCACTGCTCATGCACACTGCACTGGCAGAGTACTGGAGGAGCAGCGTGTGCTGCCTTTGCCCAAGAACGTCCCCACAGGCCTAGAAATGGGGAAGAACCACGACAGCAAATTAGGACAGTACCTGCAATAGCTTGCAAGTGAGTGCAGGAAATGTATCCCACAATTCTTTGGTCCTGAGGTGTACTTCCCACTTGCACCTGGAAGGGAAGGAAGAAATAAGAAGGCGATTAACGGAAGAGCTCATACCACTCCACTTCCAACCCCGCAGTGCAGCCTTTGCACACTGTATTGGCCCTTTTCACCACTCTTCCCACCTAGCGCCGCTTGAAAACACACACACACAAAACCACCAGAGACACGCTGGGGCTTACTGGGGTCCCGCTTGTGCCAGCACACTGACACAATCCTGCTTTTGACCACATTTCTTCCACTCCACAGCAAATTTGGGATTTTGATAGTTCTTTCACATTCTTCTACAAAGGTATTGGGGATTTCTACAATTTTGATAGTTCTTTCACATTCTTCTACAAAGGTATTGGGGATTTCTACTGTGTCTCAGCAAAGTGTTTACATTCTTCAGCTCACAGCAGCAGCCCCCATCTCTGTCAAACAAACGGAAACACGTGTGCCCCTGTTCTCCTAGCCCCTGTAGAGCAGCCTGCTCTACACACAGAAGAGGCCCGGCTTCCAGGGAAGTTGGAGTGTAGTATAACCCCTCATCACTATCCTATGCTACAGTCCTTTAAAAATGTATTTGACGACACACTGGAAATTAGAATCAAGGTCTGGTTTAGGTTTTCAACCCTGTGGAAGGTTTTGGCAGTTCAGGATCTAGCTGCAAATCAAAATTCCCAATCTGAGGGATTCTTGATTTGAGGATCAAGATTTGGATTGAGGCAAGAAACTAGTTTGAGCGTACGGTTTTCCTGTTGACAGTTAACGTGGCAACACTGCACGGACTACTAAAGAAAATGCCTACAGAGGCAGGTTGTACCCAGGGCTCAGCAAACCAACCCACAGCAAACAAACCCTCTCCTTCACAAGGCAAGGCTCAGGCTTCATCTGACACCTCCAAACAACAGGCAGAGCTCCATTTCATCCAGGCACAATTCTGTCAGCTTGGTTGGTTTTCTTGTTTTTCACCTTTCCAAGAACCATCTGATTCATGTTGTAACTGGAAAGTCAGCTTTGCAGTAAGTGAATTTAGGAGTCATTTGTACTCAACAATGCCTTGTTACCTTTCACTTTCCGTTACAGCTAGAAGAGTTTGTAATAAACAACTTGCCTTACTCTGTCCTCAGCCTGTTCAGTCCTCTTTCAGACAGTTTTCAGATGAGTACTGATGGAGATCTGATCGCTGTTCCCATACAGTTAACCTAGTCCAGGGAGGGTGAAGGCAGGGGAAGGCAAGGGACGTACATACAGTCCCTGCTGGATCTACCCGAGCAGAGGATTCTGCTGAACTCAGACGGTAGCAGAGTCTCAGAGGACATGCCGTTCTGCTGGACGGCTCCTGGGGACTGCTGCAGAGGCTTCACTGCACAGACCTCTTTGTTCCTCCCTCAGGCTGCCTTGGTCTGAACTACCACAATGTCCCAGGTGAATTAAAAGGAGCGTTCTCTCCCTTTTTTTATGCAATGTATGTCATTCCAATAAGAAAGTGGGAAACCATTAGTTTATATGCTCTCCTGTCTAGGGCAGGCAGGTGTGTGAATTGCAGATGTCAAACTTAGTAACTCAAAATCAGATTTTCTCTTCAGTGATGAAAACTATATAAAAGTCTCTGCTAGTTCACAAAGTTGCAGTGTCTCTTGCTGCAGAGAGTGTTACACATCTCCCAATGCCATGTACTGTAACCACACTGAAAATACTGCATCTAAGGTTTTCTGCTTTAGAGCAAGAGTGTGCTGCTTATAATCCTTATTGACTAAAGCAGGTGGAATAATTTTCAGTGTCTCTGTCCAAAAAGCATAGAAGATTTAAGTCTAAAAGCTGAATATCTAATAATAAATTATAGTCAGTTGAGAAAAAGAAGTCCACTCAAATTGGCTTTAGAATTTCCTGCGTAGCCCTAATGGAGAGCCTGACAAGGTCTCGTACTCATCAACCAGTGTATGCATCGCATCCCACTCATCTCCCTTAATCGTAAAGAAATGTGTCGTAGCGTCCCCGTGTGCACAGACCTACCCTGAATGGACTTGGGAGCTTTCCGAGGATGACACGAAATGCCGGTGAAGACAGCCTGACTGCCGCTATCCGCAGGTGGGCGAGCGCAGCAGATGCCCCTCGGTGCTGCCACCGCTGGGCACTGTGCCCCAGGGCTCTGCGCTTGCTAGGAACGATGGCTGCTCTGCACACACCCGGAGGGGAAAAGGAAAGGGGCTTCCATAAACACTCTGCTCACTTAAAAAAAAAAACCAAGAAAAGCTCAGGAAGCAAGAGCTGAAGACATTAACATAATTAGAATTTCCTTGGGAAGTGTCAGCATGGAAGTACATCCAAGGCAGCTCGTCTCCCAGATTTCACATTTCCTATGATTTTTTGGGATTTTTTTTGAGCAGCATCAAGCAGAATAATTTTGGGTATAGTCATAATGGTGACAAATATTTGTGACAACTACAAGGGAGAGAAAATAAATATCCTTGCAGCCTCCTAAGTCAATTCCCAGCTACCGCAGAAGCACCAGTATATTGAATATGGTCAGAAATAGAACAGAAGGAAAATCTGGTCAGTCAGTCTAACTGGGTATTTCACAGATGGACCAGGACTATGGGATGTGTAGACAGGAAAATTACTTGACCCCTGGAATACTACAAGCCCTGTAATTCTGCATAAAAGCACTCCTTTATGTGGCCAAATACTGCAGCTACTTTTAGACTGTTCCATTTTCAAGGGTAAATTACATTGTGGTGACTCGGCCTGAGCAGCCACGTGGCGGCCCTGCAGGAAGACAACACTGAGCCTTCATTTCAGCCTGCAGCGTGGCAGAGGTTTCACCTCCACCAATCCAAGTCAGCACCTCACAAATACATTTTATGCTGCTGAATACAGAAGAAACTTCTTAGTTCACATTTACAAAGAAAATATATTTAAGCAAATAAGCCAGAGTGGCTCCTTCACCCTAAGCCTGACCTAAGTTCACCTCAACTGTTCTAGCGCTGCATCGGTAAGACACCCATTGAAATACCCTTCTATGGGGAACTTCAGACATGGCTTTCTGAAAATCATCGTGACGTCTTAGTTGTGTCCTGGACCACTCGTCTGTGTCTGTGGAAATTTATAGGAAGGTACTATCTAAATATATTTGTCAGTTCCCAATGTTTTAAAATAACATAATTATTACAAGAGGAGAAAGTTGTATGTGATATCCTGTTAAAACTCTGACATTACCTAGATGTAAAATTAAAATTGAGAGAACATACTAGTGGTTTAATAAAATGTCCCAATTATATAATTTTGACAGAAACACATATTTTTCACTGTTATGCTGAAATATGCAAAACATACTCCAATTCTCAGTACTTTTGCAAAAGTTAAGTAATCAAACTAGGCAAACATCTGGAAGCACGAAGCAAGTCCTGATTCCTGTTACACCACTGAACATTACATTTTGTTAGCTGTTGGGGTGGGGGGGAGCTCATTACAGATGAGAGAGGCGCTTTTTTCTGTAAAGGGGAAAGCCTCCTAAGGAGGTATTTGGAATTCAAAATGCCAGTTCCTACTGCTACATATTTACATTTTCCCCTGCCTGTAAATTAAATAAACAAATGCAAAATTGATAGCTCTGAATTTTTACTTTAAGTCAGAGTACTGACTGTGTCAAGTCCACAGAAATACCTGACATCAATACCTTTTCTTGAAAGATGCCAACTCCATGCCACAGCACATTAACACAATCTGTTGGAAACTACGCTGATACTGTGCCGTACTATGCAAAATTGTGCCTATTCCTGTAACTGTATCAAAAACGTGTCCTGTATGGACTAGGGAGTAGTATGTCCTCCAATCAGACTGGTGTCAGATAATAAACAACGCTTATGAAAGACATCAAGCCAACGGCAGAAAGATTCTTGTTGACAAAAAATAAAATGTAATGAGTAGCAACAGTTGAAATCTCAGAGCTGGAGCGAAGGCAATGCCCTTAAATTCAATAGCTTTACTTGCTACCTTGGGAATTTTGTAAGCTAGCTGGAAAATCTTGCACAGCTCATATTTACCATACTCCAGTATATCAACTACACAAAGCTGCTAACATGACAAATATCTTGTCTTTAACAGTTTATATTTACACCCATCTGTCCCAGCAGCGCAAACCAGTTCCATTACATCGGCATGTCAAGAAAAGCATCAACAGGTACTTAAACAAAAACCAGGGAAACACTACCTAAGTACCAGAGGTATGTCAATACCAGCTTCAAACACACCATTGCTGTGTTAGTAAAGCAGCTACTTGAAAGGAAGTGTTCTTTAATGCTTGAGACTTGGGCCGTGCCATTCATGAAAAATCCCACTTGACTGAACAACCAAATCAGATTCTCAAACCCTGACCAATAAAGCATAGACAAACAGAAAAGGGTTGTTACAAGGGGAATTTAACCTTTAGTGACATTTTCTAGAAATTTCACCTTGCCAGGAGGTAGCCATTCAAAATAACCCTAAATAGACAGTTTAGTAAAAGTATACCCACTGACATGAAGGGTTTATGTACATCCAAGTCCGAGCACGTGCCTTTGCCTCTTCCCTCACGGGAAGCAAATCCAGGTGTGCAAACCAGAAGAGAGCTAAAATTTTGGCGTGCTCTTGGAAAAAGCTCCACACAGTTTACCACCCCACAATCGGCCAATAAACCTGGAGCTGGGAAGGTAAATAATCTGAATGCAACTTTAAGGGAGATGGGATGCTGCACAGAATAGCTCTACTTTCAGCCACTGCAGTTAATCACATCTTGGACTGTGAATGAGCAAAACCATTAATTTCTTCAGCTTACGTGACCGTGAAGGTGTCAGTTTTACCACTGGAATAAATGTGAACCGTAGTACTGATTCCTGCATTATTCTTGGAAGAGGGCATGTGTCCAAAGCATACAGTTCTACGGCAAACAGATTTATGGTCATGATAAGAACCAAGCTAATGATGTTCATATTAAGAAAAACTAGCCCAGCTGAAACACACACCTGCATGCTCTGTGGGAAAAGCC